AGGGTTTAGGGTTTAGAGGGTAGAGGGTTTCGGGTTTAGAGGGTTTGGGGTTTAGTTCTTGAAATATCGGAATCTGGAATGGGCAGGGATGTCCGCTGCATTTTGTCGCTGCGATCAGAATGCTCCGCAGCCGGCATGCGCATGAACCACCCACTGACTCACCTCAATATCCAGGGAATCCCTGCTTGGATACTGAATCTGACCGGGCCAGCAGTACATCGACTCGCCTGGAGAAGAAGTATTACTTACAGAGGCATGTGCACAAAGGCCCCGTGATCACGGTGATCGCCGAGCTTCTCTTCAAGGCGAGAGATACGGTTGAGGTTATAAATCTGCATTTCCCTAAGGGCCCTAAACCATGGGACTTATGGTCTATTCCTTATTATGGGTCATTCAGGATTTATACCATCAACCGTAGGGACTCTGTTGCTGGACATCAAGGCCCACAGCTGGACGGTTGATCCTTCCCCGACAGGTCCTTCGCCGCCGCCTCCTTTCTCTCGCTTTGCTGTTTCACCTGCGAGCATTGCGGGCGCATTCAAACAAGGTTCCAAAGAGCATCGTGTGTGAGACACAGATGCTGTGCCGACAGACCACACCCCCTGCAACCCCTTTCGAAGCTTCATCGACTCAACTGTCAATGCTCCAACCTGGAAGCCGAACCCTAAAGGCATCGAAAGGCCCTCAACCCATAGTCCCTCAGCGCCAAACAAACCCTAAACCCTAAACCCTAAACCTAAACCGTCAGAGAGGACCCGGGCTCTGGTCACAGCCTCCAGAAGTTCGGCTTCGAGTTCAGCTTTCGATTTTTTCAGCAGTTCCAGCCTGATGCTTACCAGGGCTTTAGGGTTTAAGGGTTTGGTTTAGGGCTTAGGGTTTGGGGTTTAGGGTCTAGGGTTTAGGGGGTTTGGAGTTTAAGGGTTTATAGGGTTTAAGGCTTTTGGGGTTCAATCAAAGCAACATAGGGTTTAGGGTTTAGGGATGCCCTATATCTTCTTTGGGACAGAGCACACCCTGACATTGGCAAGCCTGTGCCGGACTGCATTGGTGCAGTGTGCGAAACTCACAATACCGACCACAAGCCACATCATCGCAAGACTCTGCAAAGTCTGCAAGTGCCCGGCTCTTCCCGAACCAGCACCGATTCGCGGTTTGGCCTTGCAAGCAGCAGCGCCATGTTACATCTCGGCGAAGCTATTCACATGGTCCCCACACCGCGATTCGGGACCTGCCAATGGCAATGCCTGAGTTGCGAACGAACCGCCTCTCGGTGGCACAGGCAGAGGCGCCTGGACAGGTGCAAGTGCTAGAATCCGCTGGGCCTACGACGCAAACTGCAGGGAGAAGCAACTGTTATCCGTTTACTGTAGGGGCCTAAATAATTAGAATAGGGTTTTGGGGTTCCTCATTGTAAGTATAGTATAGTGTAATGGGCCTCAAAACCCTCTTCTAATTATTTAGGCCCCTATATTACCAAAAGCAACCCTAAACCCTAAACCCTAAACCCTAAATCCGTGGTAACAAGAACAGGGGCATGCAGAGGCTGATGGGACCTCAGCAGATTGCGAAACCGGCTGCTCCTGCCCAGACACGTTCCTCGGTGCCGGACTGATGCGAGGCTTCCGGCTTTGCACTGCGCCCTAAACCCTAAACCCCTAAACCCCTCCTAAACCCCTAAACCCCTCCTAAACCCCTAAACCCCTCCTAAACCCTTATGGGGTTGAAGGGTGACAGGGCTCGGTCGGACCTGGCGTCAAAAGATTTTGAACACTCGCAAAGGCAAAAGCTCCTGCCGGATAAGACACACCCAAACGACCGTATAAGCACATCTTACTCCTAGCATCTTGAACCCCTCAAAATTTGAACCCGAGATTTAAAGCCCCTCTGTGTCTCCAGATGGCTTAGCTGCCCAAATTCTAAGCCACACATCCTAAATGAAGGACTCCAAAGCCTTCCAGATTCCCCCAATTATTCCCTGTCAAGAATAGTGATACTAGCGCACATACCCCAAAGGGTGACAGATCACCACGACGACCACTGCCACAAGGACCATAGGGAACACCCACAAGGACCATCAGGACCACCCACTACAGTACCCACTACTACTGCGACCACTAACAGTGAGCACAAGCTGTGCACTGTGCCACAGCTGGAGCTGCATTTGGGGGAACGTCTTACGCGACACACACACACACAAACCAATGACTTCTACATAGAATCCCATAGTGTGCCACACTGTTTGGGGAATGAACGCCTGCATTGGCCTGATAATGCCCATGAGAGCTCCGCTCAAAAGGTTATTTTCTTTGGGGGGGCGGGGGGTCCTCGCAAAACCCTCAACGTCTGTAGTCGAGAATGGTTCAGAGCTTCAGCAGGCTGTCCGCGATCTTGCGGGCAATCTCCGTCTCACTGAGCTCACGGCAGTCCTTGGGGCTTTGACTGTAGAGGGTTGATTAGAAGCACGGCTGATGATCTAAACGTCTGCATTACCTTAAGGACCCTAAACTATGGAAATTATGGTACATTCCTGATTACCTATAGCAGCCTATGGGTAGGGCTTGCCGGGACTCCGCAGGATTAGAATGGTTCGCATAGGAGATCGAACAACATTTTGCAGCATCAGTTACAGGGAAACCTTGGTACGTTGCAGCATTTGCTCCAAAGGATTGGGAGAGCCTGCGCTAGCATGGCCGCGGTCATCAGAGTAGGGCGTTGCTTACAGAAAGCTGGATACATCCACTTAAACGGAAAGCACATCTCAAAGATCGTCCAAGAGTCGATGTATGCAAGGCTGGGAGGTATAATCATTCGAATCAAAGCTTTAGCTTCGCCTTTTTTGTCGAACTTGTGCCCGGGGCCGGAGGGCGGCTCAGGTGGGTAGACCTCGTGCATCCTCAGTGGCAGCACATCCACTGCCCAGTCCTGGGCATATCTCAGCTCCTTGAAAGAGCTGTAGGAGGAGCTCGTCTTCTCACCGTAGTGCCGGGTACAAACAGAGATTATGACGCCCCTCTTCTCGTACGTCTCATTCAGATATTGCATTGTCATCGTGCCAAAATCATCGCCGCCTTTGGCCGCAACCATGAGCACGTTGAAGCGGTGGTCCTGCGTTGGCCGAAATCAAAAAACTTCTAGACTGCCCAAGTTGGTTATAATAAATATTGTGCTACCCTGACGGGGCATCAAAGTACACGCGTGCCCGGAAACCAGCAAAAGACTTGATGGTTGTCGCCCCTCACAGACAGTTGTTGGCCCGAAATTCAACGAACCCGAGACCCTAAACCCTACAAGCCCCAAATCCGAGAAGAACAACACTAAATGCCACTGTAAGCCCATTGCCTTGAGGATCTTGTACACTCGCCGGATCTTCGCTTCCACCTGAACCAACGTGAAACGCAGTTCTTTGTATAATGGTAGTGTGGCATGGGGTCTCCAGAGTTTCGTGAGAACAGCACGCCTCTCCACCATCAAACCTGGCAGAGAACATGCCCAGCCGGGAGCTCGCGCCATCCGGCAATGCCTGGATGCCCTTGGTGCCCCAGAATGGAAGAGTATTGAGAGGGCAGGGTCTGGCTTGGATCGGGCTTCAAACCTTAACGCAGCGGGCTCACAAGCTTTTAGATTTCAGCTGCAATTTTGGCCTAACCGGCAATGGCTTCGTTGGCCTTCAGGTTCTCATGGCTCTTTCACGGTAGATGGTTGAATCGTTGCGTAAGCAGACGACAACCTATGCTCGTGGCTTTTTTGTTGCGTGCCCATGCCTGGTTCGTTTCAGCTAACGGAGTGCTTGGCACTGCATGTTTGTCGCTCAGGAATGACGCAGCCAAAAGAGCAAAAGCTGCCTCCCCCCTCAAGACGAAAGACATTGGGACGGCTCCTATTGGGATTGCGCGGCTTTGGCTTGGAATAAATTCGAAGACATCGTTCTGGCTTTGGGCTTCAGGGTTGGGAAGTCGGCAAATACCATATATCCTCACACTGCTTCATACGTCGACAGCTGAACGTAGGTCCTCTTCTCTAGACAGTTACTCAGAAACTAATCCGTATGAAGACTTGAAGAACAAGCATCACAAAGCGGCCCGACACTAGCACCCTAAACCCTAATGTCGACTGCTCTGCAAGGGTGACGCTTCACAGCACAGCTGTTGCCGAATGTGTCCAAATTTGTCCAGGGTGAAAACAAGGCTGCCGTGTCTCTCGCGGCCAGCCAAGAACAAAGAAGTGCAGGTTGGTCACGGATCCCCGATCCCTCAATGAGCAACGCTAAAAGCCCTGAAAGCCCTTTTTACCCATAGGCCCCTCAGTGGTTCCTTTTGGTGGTTCAAGATTAGAATCCTATAAGGTAGCCTCCAAAAGGAACTACTGCGGAGCCTATGGGTATAACCCTACAAACCCTTCACAAAAGCGGACGCGCCACCAGGCTGAAAGGCTCAAGCGCTGCCGCCCCCATGGTCTATATAGAGTTTAGGGTTTAGGGTTTAGGGGTTTGGGGGTTTAGGGTTTAGGATTTAGGGTCTAGGGTTTAGGGTTTAGGGTTTTGGGGCTGACTTCTCGAGCCGTCGACGGGATGCAGCAAGCCCTTGTGTGTCCGAGAAGAGCAATCCAAGTTACATCAAAGCTCCAAGCAGACGAACAAGCAGGCACGAGATGAGTAGTTCTCTAAGTTAGGCTCCCTTTTGGGATCCTTTTTATAAGGGTGCGGTACTATATTGGGGACCCAAAAAGGGACCCTAATTTGGACAACTACCCAGATGGCTACGGTTGCCCTGGGGTCTTGCGGGAAGCGGGGCGCTTCTTGGCTCCGATGCGCAGCGCACGCTCCACGCAGCAAGGCAGCAGGGGGGGAACCTGCAGAAATCTCAAGCACGATTAAGAGATGCGATAAGGAAGAGGGTTTAATTAGGGTTTAGGGTTTAGGGTTTAGATTTGTTGCTAGCTTCCCTGATACTGTAACACTGTTGCCTTCTCGCCTTGCCCTTAGGGGGTGCCAGGGCGGGGTGAGGGGGGGGGAAAGGGGGGTGTCGCGTCGCGAGATGCCTGCATCAGGCTTGGCCGAACCATGCCCAGCAGATTCGGGGTGTAAGGTTTAGGGTTTAGAGTTTAGGGTTTAGGGTTTAAGGTTTAGGGTTAGTTATAGGTTTAGGGTTTAGGGTGACTGTCCCCAATTGTACACTAGGGGTGGGGCACGTTTGGGGCGGGGGCACCCTTTGCCTTGTCTTGTAGACCAGAGTTTCAGGACTAGCATGTTGCCTTCGGCCATATTCCGAGTTCTTGCGATGCCCCTCTCTACAGCTGAACTCTGTGACGCTGAAAACTCCCTAATGAGCCCAGTCATCCGAAAACCAAACCCCAAACATCTACGATGCTCTGCACACCCGTTTATATTTCTAGAGCTTCACAGAGCATGGTCCTCACAGGGAACCCTGTACAGTTCAACAGTAATCACATCATTCCGGGAGTTAAGCAGACCATTGGCCTATAGGGTTTATGGCGTTGTTGAGTGATTGTGGTATCTCCAGATGTATGCATTATAGTATGGAGTCGCTTCTAGTTCAGGGCGGAAGGCTGCACCATACCCTAAACCCTATATAAGTCGGAAATCCGAGCTTCGGATGAGGATTCAGTCGTCGGAGTCGGGCAACTGCTCTTTTCCCGCCGGGCAGCAGCGCTCCAAGCAGGAGTTGCAGAAGCACAGTTGCCGACTTGTGGCATCCCTGGACCCTTCGATTTAGGAGTTTTATGCCTTGTGTGGTCTTCGAATCTGGGGAAATTTGGATTGATAATGAGATTTACCGTAGGGATCTGTAGGGTGTCGTGCTTTCTATACCCAAACCCCGCACCTGACGCCCTAAACGCTAAACCCTAGACTCTAAACCGTCCTGCGCCTGGAACCTTGAGGCGTCACATCTTAGAAGCAGCACCCGGTCTCGAGATCACAAAACGTAGTGTGGAATCCAACCTTCAGTCTACTATCCTGACCCTGTGCATATAGACAACATTAAAAATAAATATGAACTTAAATAGATGAGCAAATAAGTAAATACAAGTTAAATAAACATATATATATATATGAATATTCGTGCCTGGTGACCTGGTGCTTCACTCTAAGAGAAACCAATTGAGAGCCCGGGCTGCAACAGTGCCTACCAAGACCCGAGCGAGTGGTCCATATGAGGTTAGTTCTCTAAATTCGGGTCCCTTTTAGGGTCCCTGTTAGGGTTTAGGGTTTAGGGTTTAGGGTGCCGGGCTGTAATTATTGGGGACTTAAAAAGGGAACCCTAATTGTAGGGAACTGCCCAGGTTGCGGTTGCCTTGCCTTATGCACTGACTGCCAACCCATGACTACAGCCATTCCTGCCCGAATACAGCCAGCCGCGCTGACTGCTAGCCCCTGACGCTTCGAGTCGGTTCTGCACTACTTCGATCTCGGAGTCTAGGCTAAGAGCTCAGCCATAAGGGTCCTTGTAAACCATCATAAGAGCCCCTTTAAGCCATAAGGATCCATAAGGGTCCCGGCTAGGGCATGTTTGATGTGGCTCCAGAGTGTCAGGACATCTTGGGGCTCCGATGCCGGGGTTTACCCTAAACCCCTAAACCCAAAAAGCCCTAAAGTCTAAACCCCTAAAAGCCCTAAACCCTAAACTCCTAAACCCTATAAGCCCTAAACCCCTACAAGCCCTAAACCCCTAAACCCTAAACCCCTAAACCCTGAACGCCCTGAACCCTAAAAGCCCTAAACCCTAAAGGGTTTAGACCAGCTGAGTCGCTGAGTTGGGTGATGTTGGGTGCACGAAAAGCGCGAGGGGCCCTTTGGGCCATTCAGTGCGGGCATGCATCCCTAAATCGTTACCCTCAAAACCATGAACCCTTAAACCGAAAATGACGGAGTGAGCGTGCCAGGCCCCTTAGTTGGGTTCAAGGTGGTCATACTGCGGATCAGTGCTTAGGGTTTAGGGCCTTTGGGTTTAGGGTTTAGGGTCTAGGCTTCAGGGTTCAGGGTTTAGGGTTCACATGGATCCTGACAATCTTGAGCCGCCCCCATGCAAACGCATGGGGAATGAAACGCAGGAGCAGGCATCTCAAACTTGATTCGACGAGGTGAAACCGACTTTGTTCAGTGCCCACCACCACAGCAACCCTAAACCCTAAACCCTAAACCCTAAGCCCTAAACCCCTAAACCCTAAACCCTAAACCCTAAACCCCTAAACCCTAAACTTGAAACCCTTTACTCTAAACCATAGCTGCCATAGCCACCTCAGAACCACGATCACCGTACTCCAACTTTAACTAGCAACATTTGGGGGGTATAGTCTCCTATGCATGAAAGATCCCCTGACCCCCAAAAACCCAACCGCCGAACCCCCTAAACCCTAAACCTTAAACCCCTAAACCCCTGAACCCTATAACCCCTGAGCCCTAAACCCCAAACTCTATAAGCCCTACACCCCTAAACCCTAAATCCTGCGAGGCCAACACCCGAAGAAGAGCCCAGTCAAATCAGCCGGGGGCGTCCGGACCTGGCCCGGTACTATCCGCGTGCCCGTGCCCGGACAGCTTCCTTGGAAACTGGGTTTCAGGGAAGGCTTTAGGGTTTAAGGGTTTAAGGTTTAGGGTTTGGGGTTTAGGGTTTAGAGTTTAGGGGTTTAGGGTCGTGCGAGGCTCCTACTTGGAGGTTCATGGGTGGTTATATGTGGGGCTAGAAGTCCCCTAATATGGGTTATAACTATAGCTGTACTACTTATAACCCCACTTATAACTACCCATGAACCTCCAAATACCCAGAGACTCCAATATTCCTTAATTGAGGAATATACCCTAAATCCTATTAGGGTTCCTGTTAGAATCTAAAGTATACTTTCCTTAGTTAAGGGATATCGGAGTCTCTGGGTACCTGTAGCTTGAGATTACGGCTTGATGTAGGGTCTGCAGGGAGATACCATTACCTCAGGATCCGCAAGCTTACTTGGGAGTTAGGATTAGGGGGACCCCTGGGGATATAGACCCTCTCAATAAGGTCCCCTTTAAGAGAGCCACAAGTAGGGTTCAGAAGGGTCCCCTTTAAGGGGTCTCCCTAATACTACCTAGGATTACTGTTTTAGGGGTTAGACCTTCTCATGAAGGGGCCATATCCTCTGTTTTGTGGGGTTTGGGGATACAGGTACTTCTTATGATTCGTATGTCCACCTGTAGTAGAGGTTTATAGCCTAAACCCCTAAACCCTAAACCCTGAACCCTAAACCTCTAAAGGGTTGAGGCTGAGGGCTTAAGGGTTTTCAGGCTTAGGGTGGTAGCTGCCCTGGATCCCTAAAACTCTAAACCCTAAATCCCTAAACCCCTAAACCCTATAAACCCTAAATCCCAAAACCCCTAATCCCTAAATGGAGTCATGGGCAGCGTCGGCTGAAGAAGAAGCTCCGAGCCGACGGACGTCTATTTTAAGTGAAATTGGCTTTAGGGTTCAGGGCTTTAGGGGTTTAGGGCTTTGGGGGTTTGGGGTTTAGGGGTTTAGGGTTTAGGGTTTAGGGTTTAGGATTTAGGGGTTTAGGGTTGAGGGTTTCCTAGCTAAAGGGGTAAGCCCTAAGCCTAAACCGCGAAGCCATGGAGTTCCGGCTCTGGCAACGGTGAGGCTAGGGCTGTCCCACTTCACAAGACCATCGCTACTAAACTCTGTGGTGTTCTGAGACCCCCCAACACCTCTGATTGCTCTGAAAACCAGAAATCCCTACGCACACCACAAACACAAACCGTTTGCCTCAATCAAACTCTGCCCCTTAACCCCATAAGCCCTAAACCCTCCGTAGCTTGGCTCAAAGCTTCCTTCTGCCCAGCAGGCTGTCCGCGATCGCGCGGGCAATCTCCACATCACTGAGCTTGCGGCAGTCCTTGAATTAGTAGGCACGTTGGGAGTTTTGAGGTTTAGGGTGTCGGACCTTAGGTCTTAAGGTTTTGGGGGCTTCAAGGCTGAAAAAGGCCTACTTGGAGGTTCATGGGTAGTTATAACTGGGGTTATAAGTCCCCCTATGGGTTATAGCTATAGTTACCCTACATAGTTACCCCACTTATAACTACCCATGAACCTCCAAGTAGGCCCTAAACCCCAAACCCTAAACCCCAAACCCTAAACCCTAAACCCCTAAACCCTAAACCCTCCCGAGTAGGGTTTTTTTGGGGGCTTTCCGAGCTTTCGGCTTCGGCCCTGGCTTTGGCCACGGGTACTTCGTGGGGGAGAGTCGGCCGAGCCGAGGCTCTCTGCATCCCGCCGGGAGCCCCTCAGCATGCGCTTAAACCAATGAATATATACATATATACATATACATATATATATATATGTATACATATATTTCTTTATCTATAGATTTATGTATTCATTTGTTTATTTATCTATTGTTTTCATTCATCCATCCATGCATGCACGCATGCATGCATGCATGCATGCATGCATGCATGCATTCATTCATTTGTTCGTTCATTCATTCTTTCATTCTTTCATTCTTTCTTTCTTTCATTCATTCGTTTGTTTACATTACATTGCGTCACATTACATTACATTACACTACATTGCATTGCAGTGCATTGCATTACAATACGTTACATTACATTACATTACATTACATTACATTCATTACATGACATTGCATTACATTATAGATATATGTATTCGGTGAAATAAATGTTGTTCAACATATGCATACTGCTAATGCATGCTCTGGATCTAGCCTGTCAAGACAGCTTTTTCAGTCTTTCCCCCGAAGGCCTGCATATTGAGACTTGTAAAACTTCCTCAAGTCTCACATGCCTTTCACCTCGGGGTGCCAAACCACGATGATACACTCACTAAGCATGTAAGAGCCTGTAGACTCGTGACTGGCAACCGCTTTCGAGTTTAGATTTGTGCCGGACAAAGGCTGGACATTAAGGCATGTAAAGTCGACAGAACGTCCAAGCGTCAATGTATGCAATGGCAGGTCGCATCGCCATTTTTATCAAATCCAATGCGTCACCGTCTTTGTCGAACTCGTGCTCCGTTCCGCAGGGCGGCTGTGGTGGCCAGACGTCTTCCATCCTCAAAGGCAGCAGATCCAGTCCGTAGTCCTGGGCATATCGTAGCTCGTGGTAAGAACTGAAGGTGGAGCTCGTCTTCTCGCCATAGTGCCAAGTACAAACAGGGATTACGACCCCACGCTTCGTATGCGTCTGGTTCAAGAATTTCATTGTCGTCTTCCCAAAATCATCGCCGCCCTTGGCCTCCACCATGAGTACATTGAAGCTGTGGTCCTTAGTTGGACGAGCTAATGGAACGACTTTTACATTTTTACGCTGTAGCCGACGTGTCTGCCAATTCCCAAAATCTCTGACTTCTCTAAATACTATGGAAAGACTTGCCAACCGGGAAAAACAAACCGCAGACTTTTGTTGGAACACCGGGGCCCCCAACCATTTGCTTGCACCTACAGCTATGCACACACACACACAGACACACAGACATGCAGACCATCCCTTGTCCGCAAAAGCTCACATCGCCAGGTTTAGTGTTTAGCATTTCTGCAGCATAAGTTGCAGAGATCCAGAAGAGACTATTCCCTAAACCCTAAACGAGAGACGCTAGAAAGCCCTAGGAATAAAATATTACCGATTATTCCCGAAATCCTATAAAGCCTAAACCTAAGAGCAAAAAAGAAAAGAAACACATGGCACCAGAAACTCGCGCCTTCAAGATCTTGTACACTCGTCGGATCTTCGCCTCCACCTGGGCCAACATCCAACGGGTTCTTCGGCTAATGTGGGGGCCATCTGATTAGAGTTAGGGTTTTTGGGGTATATTGTACCAGAATTATCATAAGGAACTCCAAAGATAGAAAATATTATTTCGGCCCCTATATTATGGGGTTTAGGTCTAGAGTCTAGGATTCCGATTCATTCAGAAAGAGGCCGGATGAATGAGAGTCCTGCCACTCCAAAAATCCTAGAACCCTTTGAACCCCTAAACCCTAAAAATCCCTAAAAAACCCTAAACCCTAAGCCCCCAAAGCCCTGAACCCTAAACCCTAAAAAACCCTGAGCCGA